ACTTCAGTTTCACACAAGACCTATGAAGAAGCCAATAGCAACTGTGAAGTGTCAGAGTGAAAATTAAACATGGTTGAGCATAGTTATGTTTCTATGCGTCGTCCTTTGAAACCATTATTGCCAGACATGGTGGCACACAGGTTTGCTTTCTTTCTTTTCTCTTTTCCTTCAACAGAGCCCTGGCTGTCCCCGACTGGCTTTGTAGACCAGGCTGGCCTGGAACTCACAGAGATCCATGTGCTTCAGCCTCTTAGCTCCGGGCTTAAAGGCACACACCACCATGCCCGGCAGGCTGATCTCTCAGAGTTCCAGGCCAGCTTGTTCTAATTGTGAGTTCCCAGCCCGCCAGAGCTACATAGTGAGACTCTATTTAAAACCAAAAACCAAAATCAAAAAAATATTGCTCATAGGTAATTTCTAGGAAGTGTAGCTGTTGGATGAGGGAAAGAATAATTTATACCTTAATTTATTCATTTACTTACTTTCTTTTCGTTTTTAAAATAAGAATGTTCAGTTGTTCTTTTATTCATTTCTGAGAATTAACTTGCTAAAGCTTTAGCCATAACCCACTCTCCTGTCCCTCCACAGTCTCTTTATATACCCCTGGCTGTCCTGGAATTCACTGTGTAAACCAGGTTGGCCTCAATCTCACAGAGATCCACTTGCCTCTACCTCCCAAGTGCTAAGATTAAAGGCATGAGCCACCTTGCCTGGACTCAAATTTATTTATTATGTGTGTGAGTACATTACCCACATGTATGTTTGCGAACTTCATGTGCGCAGTGCCAGAGGAAGCCAAAAGAGAGTATCAGCTCCCCTGGGACTGGGGATACCATGCAGGTGCTGGGGTTCAGGCAATCTGAAGAGCAGCCTGTGCTCTTACCCACTGAGCCATCTCTCTAGCCTCTGCTTTGTTTTTGTATTTTACACTCTACGATTTCTCGTTTTTATTGCTACCACCTAATAATATTAGATGACAGGACCTCTCATTTCACTTAATGTAATTTTTTTAAAATGTTGATTGTCTTGTTTTGTTTTGTTGAGACAGGGTTTCTCTGCATAGCCCTGGCCATCCTGGAACTAGGTTTGTAGACCAGGCTGGCCTCAAACTCAGATTGTTTGCTTCTGCCCTTTGAGTGCTAGGATTAAAAGCTTGTGGCACCACCACCTGGCCTGGCAATTGTATTCTTTGCCCATTCCTTTTTGCAATTTTTATCTGTTCCTTCTTTTTCCCTGCTGGGGATTTTCTTAGTTATAGGAATTAGTGGGGAAGCATGAGTTTGAGTCAAATGCTTCAGAGCATCGTGCCTTCAAAAATTCAGCTAAATTTGGCTGGTAATGTAGTTGGGTTGGGAGAGTGCTTGCATGGCACGCACAGGCCATGGGTTTGATTTCCAGCATCACCGACGCTGGGTGTGGTTGTCCATGTCTGTAATCTCAGCCCTCCACAGGTGGAGGCTGAATGGTCAGAGGTCAGTGTCATCGGCTACATTGCAAGTTCAGTCCCCAGTGATGAATAAGTTTCAGGGTTCACAACTGCAATCCCAGCACTCCCCAAGAGGAGGTAGGAGGGTTGGGAGTTCATGGTCATCCTGGAAGTTTCACTGGTTCTGTGAGACTCTACTAATAAGAAGAGAGTGGATTTGTGAGTGAATTGCTTTACTGTGTTCACAACTTTTCCCTCTAGAACATTGTTTTGTTTTTAATTTTCAAGTTTCTCCACTGACTTACAGATGCAAGGAGAATGATGCAACAAATATATCTCACTTACTTGAGAGCTGGCAAAACATGAATGAAAATATGTGACATTCGAGGTCTTTATTAGCCAGTGGCTGAAAGCCTTTGAAACCATTTCATCTGTCATTGGCATTCTGTGAGCGGGTGACCTAAAAATATCTGTCGGCTCCCCAGCAGGCCATTTGTCAACAGCATGGTGTAATTATAATGAGCTTTATTGACATCATAAAAATGGGATGCCAGGTGGTGTCCATTCCCACTTGTTTAATTGAAGAAATGAAAGATCTTGTAATGTGGAGTGAACCCGGCCATCTGTCAAGCAGCAATAAAATTTTGTCATGGCTGTGACCTTGACTCCTAAGGACCATTGAAGAGGAAAAGAATTTTATGGTGTGAGTGACTCAACTGACTTATTTTATTCTTAGCTCTAATGCCAACAGAGAGAATAGACCACTGTATCATTTCTTCAGCACTGCCCACGATAAAGCTGGGTGATTGTGTGTGTAAGCCAGGGTGCCGTCTAAAATCATAACAGGATACTGAAGAAAGCAAAGAGTCATGATACTCTACAGCTTTTTGTTTGTTTGTTTTTGAGATAGGGTTTCCCTGTGTAGCTTTGGCTGTCCTGGAACTTGCTCTGTAGACCACCATCTTGAAAGAGTTTTCTGAAGTTGGAATCAGTATATGTAAACACTCACATGTTAAGAAAAAAAAAATCAGAGATTTTTCTATAAAGCTGTAAATGGAGTCATGCTACAGACCATTTTCTAGCCCTATGACTCAAGATTCATTATCAAAATAACATTTAATTTTAAAAATTATGTGTGTGTGTGTGAGAGGGAGAGACATATGTATATGGGTACCTGTCAAATCCAGAGGAGGGTGGCTCAGGTCTGCTGCTTTTGGAGTTACAGTCAGTTTTACAAGGCCCCTGCCAAGGGTTCTAGGAACCGAGCTTGGGTCTTCAAGAGCATCAAGAGCTCTAAGACTGAGCCATCTCTTTACCTCCCTCAGTCTCTAATTTTAAGCATGAACAGAGAGGCACATTTCCATATTTTATATACAAAGCTTGGAATACTGGCGAGGTTCTTTTTTCATAGTGAATTTTATTTCTATAAAAGTGAATACACTCCAGTAGCTTACTCAAAGGACATAAGAAAAATTTTTTGCAAAAAACAAGACTGGTTTTCCTGTCCTGTAAATTTTAATTTAGCTCTTTAGCCAGGACCTGCCCACAGAGACCATCTTCCCACCAAAGCTGTGAAGAAGGTAGCCATCATGCTTAAGTGACAACTTCCATAGCAACAAGCACCGGTGTAAGAAGAGCAAGCAGGAGGATCCCCAAGATGCAGGCTTTGCCGCATATCTGATGGTGCGGCTTCTGAGAGGTCCCATGAAAGGTGTCCCATCAAAGCCGCAGGAGGAGAAGGAGGACAGAGAATGACGTTCCCCCCGGGGCCTCAGCTGCACATTGGATCATCACTGAGGTAGATCTTAAAAACCAAGGAAATGCTTGAAGCGTCTGGACATTGGTGGTCTCCCCACCCTGCACATCCCTCAGACCTACCAGTTGGGGATGAATTTCAAAACATCACATGAAATGAATTGACTCTTTTCTGTCATTTTACAGTATTTTCAAGAAACCTGGAGACAAATTTTATTTCTTGTGTTATCATTGTGTGTGTTAGAGGTGCTACCAGCCGTCATTCCTCTCATTCCACCACAGGTTTTGGCGATTTCTCAGGTTGTCAGGCAACCTGACTTGCCTGCAGGACAAGGATGTTTGCCCGCTGGCTCATCTCACTGGCCCTCTCCTGTCTTTTCAGTTCTCCTTAGACTAAAACAGACATGACCAACTTTATGCATGCCCATCAGTTTAGAGCAAATTTAGACAATTCCTGGCTCTCAGCAGTTTGGAGACTCTGCTGAGAATGTCTGACACAGTGGAGTGTAAAAGAATGACATTTTCTCACATCTGCAAGCTCTTGGGAAGTGTTGAAAAACCTTAGTGATGAGAATAGCAGTGTCTACTAAAATGTCATATGAAGTAGTCTATGATTCATGTATATGGAGTTCAAAAACAGCCGAAATGACCTGGCATTAATTGGGGTTGTGGTTAAGCCTGGTAGAGGAAAGGGATAGAGAAGAGGCACAAGGGAATTCTGGGATACTGGTGACTGTTCCTTGCTGAGTGACAGAAATGCACCTCTTTGGGAAGATTCATTGTGCTATATCTGATATTTGCAGCAACCCTCCTACCTCAGTCATGAATGTGCTGGACTAGTATATTGTCTGTTTTATATTTTTCTCATTTTTATTAATTATTATTAATTACAGTTTTGTATTCACCCTACTGTGGCCCCCTCCCTCATCTCCTCCCAATCCCATCCTCTCTCCCTCTTCTCCCCCTATACCCCTCCCCTAGTCCACTAATAGGGGAGGACCTCCTCCCCGTCTATCTGAGCCTCTTAGGTCTCATCAGGAATGGCTGCATCTCTGTGGCCTGGTAAGGCTGTACCCACTAGGAGGAGGTGATCAGAGAGCCTGCCACTGAGTTCATGTCAGAGACAGCCCCTGCTCCCCTTACTAGGGAACCCACTTGGAGACTGAGTCTATGGGCTACATCTGAGCAGGGGTTTTAGGTCCTCTCCATGCATGGTCCTTGCTTGGGGTATCAGTCTCTGCAGGGCCCCCAGGGCTCAGTTTTGTTTTGGTTTTTTTTGTTTTTGTTTTTGTTTGTTTGTTTTTGTTTTTGGCCCTGTTGGTCTCCTTGTGGAGCTTCTGTCTCCTCCAGGTCATTCTATCCCTGCTTCTTTCCATGCATTCTGCCCAAAGTTTGGCTATGAGTCTCAGCCTCTGATTTGATACCTCGATCAGTGGAGTCTTTCAGAGGACACAGTTTTACATTTTTATGAAAAAAATGTAGGATATAAGAATTTTTCTAGCCTTATGCCTACAGTTCCTATAAGAATCACCTAATAGAATATTTAAAACTAGGAGCTACTTTAAAGTCACAGGGAAATTGAGATGGTACCTCAGAGCTTCCATATACCTCACTCCCTGCCTCCTGGCTACCCGTGTCTTACATTAGTACTATGGGATGTGTCATAATTAACAACAGAGGACCCACATTCTGTTCCCAGCACCCAAATCAGTCAGCTCCCTGTACTTCATGGCTAATATCCGCTTATAAGTGAGTACATACCAGGCATGTCTTTTGGGTTTGGGTTACCTCACTCAGGATAATTTCTCTAGTTCTATCCATTCTAGAGTGGTTAGATGCTACAAGGTAGGCGGCAATGCCTTAACCTTAATGTTGTTAAGCCCGAGGGCCTTGTCCATCCTTGTCAAGGATGGTGCTAACCTTCTCTTATTTCATATAACACAACTTTCTGGTTTTTAATAGACAACTGAGAACAAAATAATGGAGCCAGGTAAAGAGAAAAATATGGTGTCAGAAAAAGGCTGGGCCTGGTGGCTTCTACCTGACATTTCAGTACTCAGGAGACTGGAGGAGGAGGATCATGAAGTCAAGGCCAGCTTGGGCTGCACAGCAAGACTCCCTCTGACACCAAAAGAGTCATAGAATCAATGCAAAAAAAAAAAACAAAACAAAACAAAAAAAAAACAAACCCTAAAAATTGTTTAGTGTCGCCTGAGTGGAAGTACACTCAGAGAGTGTCACTCAGGCTGTGGGGCTCTGCGCCATCTCTGTGGGACGAAGAGGTGGAAGCATCGATTGACACTCTTTTCCCAGGGGAACCTTGTCTGTCCTCAGTGACAGTTCGCTGTTTCTTCTGTGTAACGGACTCTCTAATTTAGGGAAAATGTTCTTTGAAAGGCGAGAATGCTGAAGCCAAGTCAACAGGCACGGCATCATGTGGCATTCCGGGTGCTCTGGTCACCAGGATGTTGCTTTTCCTATTTCTCCAGAACACAAAGGGCTCCGATCATCTGCATTTTACATGCCGTTACAAGGCCTGAGAAAAATGAAGCGGATCTGTTTAGCTCATACAACAAATTAAAGGCTAGCAAGCCAAGCTGTAGAACACGTTCCTGCCCAGCTCCTCACAGCTCACAGTATCCAGAACATGCTCCAGCAGTGAGTGTCCTTGCCTTCTTTGCACAGCTTGGTCATATGCTACACGGTCCAAAATTGTTGGCAATTTGTTATGTTAATGTTTCCTGGAGAGACAGGAGCAAGTGTTCACTCTATAAGGCAGCAACAGCAGACTAAGTGACCAAGTAACAATTCCATCTAATTCCAGCTTTGTGAGCCGGAGTTTGTGGAGCTGCTTATAGGAACGTGGGTGAGGGCTCACCTACAGGAGCATGGGTGACCTCAGGACAGCTGTGTCATGGGAAAGTCCCATCCCAGCATGGGGAATAACCTGAAAGCTGCAGAAATGAAGCCTCCACTTCCTTTAACTTCCATTTAGTATACTTTCCAGCATTCCCAAGCTCGTGTGCAGCTGCGGCAGAATTGCAGGCAGCTGGGAGGAGGTGCAGAGGTAGAGGCTGAGCTCCAGAGTGAGGGTTTGATGGCCTTCCCCCACTCCTGGCTAGGGAAGGCAAAGGGCCTCATCTTGTGAGGGGCTCAAGAGTGCAGGCAATCAAAGCTGTTCTGAGTAAAATGCCTAGAGGACAGCATTCCACAATGCAATTGTTAACTGATTTGCCTAGCAGACTCCAGCTAGGCACATGGTACCAGATTAATAATGGGGGTTCTGAGGTGAACAAGATTTCAAAGGCTCCAGTCTAGGCAGAGGGATGATGAAGATAGAAGCAAGTACATATTCCATAATTCCCACAGGGTGTGCACTTTTGGACTAATTTTCATTCCACTGGGTTTGCCCAAACCTTTCATTTGACAGGTGAGGAAGATAAAGTTCAGAGTCCTGAGTGACACTGCTAATTAGTGGCAAGGCTGAGCTTTTGAACAGACACAACCTGACTTTCCATTTTCACCATACAGGAGCGCTCCCAAGAAACCCCTTTTATTCTCTCATTTCAGAAGTAGAAATCTGTTGGATAGAGCAGTTAAGATACAAGAGTCCTGATTAATGCACTCGCAATTAAGCATCTTGAGAAATAATCTATTGTCTTTTTCTCAGCAATAGTTTGAAGACTAGTAAGTCTTTCATGCTTAAAGTCTTCCTTCTCTTCCTTCAGTACTTGCCAAGAGTGTGAAGGATACAGATGGTACCTCAGGAAGACCCTGAAGAGCTCAAATAGGCCCAGGCATGGCAAACACGGTGCCAACGGGTTTTGCCTTTTATACCCTGGCTAAAAACCAAAGTCCATTCTCTTATTTGGCTACTGACTCATTCCTGAGACTAAACACCAAGATCCAACAGTCAGAATTCACTGTTTGGCTAATTATCAGGACTTACCAACTTGCTCTAGCACAGTCTCCCCCCTTCTCCTTAAAAACCCACTCCTGCAGAACAAGACAAAATGCAGAACTGCTAGCTTGCCATCATGCTGCTCACTGCCTGCCTTTGTGGCTCTACCCCAACCACTTCACCATGCTTGAGTTGAGAGTGTGGGGTCAGGCTGTGTTTGTATTGACCCAGGGGGCCCTCCTCCATTGCACTTCCCTTACATTTGTCTTTTTACGGTCCTAGGGAAAAAGTTCTGGGTCTTTTGCATGCCAGACAAGAGCTCTACCACTGAGCTATATGCCAGACTACAAACATGCTTATTTCTCACCTGAAGTCACTTTGGCTTCCCAGATCAACCTGAGTGGCACCTGTCATTCATCGTGATACGGTGACTTCCTTCAAAGTAGCGCTTATAAACGCTTGCTAGCAGTAAGAACTAGGCCACAGGTATCATGTAACACACACTGTAGTGCGCATTTCCACATGCTGTTTAAGCTTGGGGGAAGCGGACTTGGTTTGGGAAACCCTTTCTTTTCTTAAACTCAGGCAACTATGTAAGGTCTTCTCCAAAAGCATTTGGGGCTGGCAACACAGTTCAGAGATTAAAGGAGCTTGCTGCCAAGCCTCGGGATCTGAGTTCTATCCCCAGGACCCATACGGTAGAAGAAAACCAACTCCCACAAGCTGTGCCATGATGTCCATATATATGCCATGATGGCTGTATATACACACACACACACACACACACACACACACACACACACACACACACCTTAGGAAAATACCCATATTTAACTTTTTTATTATTTTGCAATGTTTTGGATCAGACCCAGGGTCTTACCAATGCTAGGCAATCTGCCTATCACTGAGCTACATCTTCAACCTGTGCTACTATACCTGATTTGAGGACCATTCTTTCTTTTGCTATCCCCTAGCTAGATACATTCTCTATGAGGCAAAGGCATCAGACATTTAGGGGCAAAACCAGACCACTATAATCAAGGGTACTCCCACAGCCCAGGGTATTGCCACTAGAATATTCAAACCTAGATGGTTACTTACTTTATTTCTTTTTAAAAACAAATTTATTTTAAGCTGGGTGCAGTGGTGCAGGCCTGTGATTCCAGCACTCAGGGGAGCAGAGGCAAATGTATCTCTGTGAGTTCGAGGCTAGCCTGGTCTACAAAGTAAGTCCAGGACAGCCAAGGCTACACAGAGAAACCCTGTCTTGGGGGGGGGGGGAGTTTTCCTGGTTTGGTAAAAATTCTTCCTTAAAATCCCAGATAAGAAATTAGAAAAGTCTTTTTTTTTTTTTTTCTAAGACACTGTCTCTCCATGCAGCCCTGACTGGCTGTTGTCCTAGTCCTCAATGTGTAGACCAGGCTGGCCTCAAACTTACAGAGATCTGCCTGCCTCTGCCTCCCAAGTACTAGGATCAAAGGTGTGGGCTACCATGCCTGGCTCCCTTTTAGCTAGAGCTATGTGGATTTGGCGTGGGATAGGCTCCTCTTTCTTCTACACAGCCCTGAACCCTGACTTGGCAGTCTGTAGAGCTTTGTAGAACTTTTATTCATAGTCTTTTCTTATTTCTGAAGACAGGGTTTAATGTTGCCCAGATAATGTACTGCTTAAACTAGATACGTAACTGTGCTTGTTGGGTTTGTTTCTGTCAATTTGACGCAACCTAGAGACTTCTGGGAAGAGGGAACCTCCTTCAGTTGAGACCTAGTACAATGGAAACTTCATGGAACCTATGGGAGAAAATGCCATCAGACTGTCTCATAGGACAGCCTCTGGGGCATTTTCTTGCTGGATGGAAGGGCCCAGCCCACTATGGGTGGTTCTCTCCCTGGGCAGGCGGTCCTGGGGTGTGTAAGAGAGGAAACTGAATACACCCAGGGAAGCAAACCACACCCTGCTTCATTTCCAGACGTCAGGTTTTTGTCCCGAGTTCCTGCCGCCACTTCCTCTGATGATAGAAGTGATGTGGAAATGTAAGCAAACAAAACTTTTTTCTCCAAGTTGCTTTTGGTTTGTGTGTTTCTCACAGCAATAGAAAGCAAATTAAGTACCCAGGATGACCTTGAACTCCAGACCTTTTTGCCTTTGACTCCCAATGCTGTGATTACAGGTGTACATTACTTTTTAAAACTCTGTTTGGGATGTTTAGGCCTCTATCTCCCTTCTATCGACCCCCCCCCACACACACCTTAAGTAGGAGAGAAAAAAGGCTAGTCGGGGATAGGGGGCCCAGACCCCTTTACTTCTCCTGCCCGTTTAGGGTCTAGGGGTTCTTTTAGGGCTCCATACCAATCTCTTGTCAACCACAGACTCAGCCAGCGGGCTCCTCCATGCCGCTGTGCCCTGAGCGTCTCTCTCCATCTGTCTGCTCCAAACTGCCATGTCGTGTCTCTTCTCTCCATACTGCTACACTCCAACATCAAACGCGACACCAAACTCCCCAACCACCACAGTCTCTGTCTCAGCCTCCTATTTATACTCACAGTCCTAGACCACGCCCCTCCCCGTGGGGCAAGTAGTAGGCCGTTACCAGCTGGCAAACAGCATGCCCCACACGTGACAACTAACAGGTGTGGACAAACTATAGCCCAACTAAAATCCCATTCGGGATTAAAACAAAAGCATATTTACATAACGGACAAAGAAACTAAAGCTTCCATTACACATCACTACCCCAGGGGCTTTACGGGATTTTCTAGGATATTCCTGGGCCCTTTATTCTCAGTCTTTTGTTGCTACTTTCTTTCTCAGGAACTCCCTTCTAGTGCTTAAGACAGCCTTGAATCCAGTCCCCAAAGCGCCCTTTTCACTCGCTCCTCTTTAGCTCCTAAATTGCTCCAATTTGCCTCTAAACTCGATCTCCATAGCCAATTCTTGCAAGCTTCCTGAAAGGTTGCATTGTTCCTTTTCTCAGACAAATACTTGTAAAGCTTTTTTAAAAAAAGATATCTGTGCCAACACACCTACAATCAAATTAAAAG